TACCAGGAAATGGAGCGTTGAGCAGAACAACTATGGCATGTGTAAGAGGAAATCTCATGCTCAAAAACATTTCAGTATCAATACTCCAAGAATAATGTCTTCTATTTCTCTGCAAAAAACAGTCATAGCTCAGACAGTGTCAATAAACTTCCTTACCAAATATGTCTTTTGTCTGTGAAAAGATGTCTTATTCCTCATGCATGTTTACATCATGATACCTTCAACATGACAGCCCATGGCAATTAAAAGGTCACGGAGAATTTTTTTTTATGGAAGTCTGAAAACCCAATTAGCTTTTCTGTATTTGTTGCTTTTGTCTTCACCTAAAGGTGCCCTCCATGATGTCAATAACAAAACCAGTTTCAGAAGGCTTAAAGCTGGCTCTTAGGAAGGTCCACCCAGCATCTAATAAAACACTAAATCAAATAATCAGTTTCTTAATTGCAGTAGTTCAAAAATGTGCAGAAATAAATGTATAAAAAGTCTTCTATACTTCAGGCATGTTTAGGACTACTTATCTAAAGAATATCCAGCGCCTACTCAATGACTTCAGTATGACCTTTCTTTCTGAGTTTTTAAGATAAAACGATACATTTGATGCCAATGTCACCAGCACAAGAAGCATATATGCATACTGCTTATGAGTCTAAACCAATAGTGTTAGGAGCATTCACAGGAACAGAAAGGAAATACCACCAAATGCCTTTTCTCCATGACTTCTGAAAGACGGCTTTACTTACACTCAGCAGGTGATGATGAAATCTTTTGCCCGATCACGGTATGCTGCTGGGTGTAAGACTTCAGGGACTGACTAAGAGGTGCTTACTGCTGTGCTAAAGGATTTTAATTTACTTAAAATTTGGGGCATAAAAGCTTTTTCCTTTTACTGACATACATTTTATTGAATTCTAAACTGCATATTAAAGTTCATAGCTATTAAAATGACTCATTCTATATATTCATGGATACCTCCACAAAAGAGCACAAAACACTCTGTACTAAGGTTTTTTTCTTCATTTCCTACATTTTTATTTCTCTTTATATTTTCAGGAAAGCGAGAACAAGATATACATTCTATTTCATAACTATCCCATTATTCAAAACCTAGCCTTACTCTGTAAAACACAAATCCTGATTTTACGAAGCCAAGAAATGAATTTTGACTAAAGTGCTGAAGAGGCTTCAAGGGGAAGCCTCCACTTACTGGACACCTGGGATATGAATACTACATAATATAGGGAGGTGCAACTGTGAATATAGCAAACTGCACCAAAACCCCTAATAAGGCTTGTTCTTTTCCACAAATTTCTGCACATGCTTGTCTTATTTCTCACCTTCACTTTTCCATTTTAGATCATGAAACCCTGGACAGACTTGAGATGTCACACATGCATCGTAAGACTTTCCACAGGCTTCTGTACTTCTGCCAGGCCCTTCACTGAGGTAAAACTGTGGCTGAGGTGGTCAAAAACTTGCAAAGAAGGGCCTCAGAGTAAGATAGAGTGGGAAGTCAAGCTAGAGATGTAAACAAGTTGGGTCTGTCTCTTTTAATGTAGATTTTGGCCTCTTTAGCCTCTTACAAGCTATCAGTGCTGTTAGTCCAAGCCTGAAGAAAGTTTTGTGTTTGTCTACCAAGTTTTTCAGAAGCTGGCAAAAACCAAGCTAGCGTTTGCTACAATGACACTTCTAAAGCCTTTCGTTAGGGGCAAAAGCCAATCTTCCAGGCAGCACGTACTGCCAAAGCTTCTGACATCTTGTAAAGAGGACTTTGACGAGCTGTATGGACCAGGATAAAAAAAGGCAATAGGTGGCATAACAATTTGATCTGATGGTGAAAAAAAGCTTTCACTTGATGAATGAAGAACAGTGTGGCTCTCTTCTGAGGCACATGGTTGGAAAGTCTCTTAAGGGAGCATTGGTGGAATTGGCATTAGTTTTTCCACACAGATCTCTCTGGTGAAGATAATTTAGCTCTGGATAGCATGTGAGAGTAGAGCTACTCAGACTGAGGCATGCACCAAGTTACCCAGCACCATGGATGGGAATCACCATGAGAAAGAAAAGGTGGCCACGACAGAAAATACCAAGAAATGGCTCCTCCTATTTCCTGCATCTAACATGATTCCTCAGCCTAAAATCCCAGTATGAGGAATATGAGTCACACAACTCTGTTTTATATATTTGCTTGACTTCCTACTGTTAACATGCAAGGCTGGGAAGGAGCGTAATGAGAAAAAGCTCAGACAACCTTTGAGGGAGGTAGTTCAAGAAAGAGAGATTTATCAACACTGCAGAAGATCCCAATATCAAAAAGCGTAGCACTGAAGTAGAAGTTTTTGTGGAGAGAATGAACTCCACTTGAAAGGTAAAGTTAAATCTCTGCTGCTATAAACTTTATAATAAATACTGATACCAAGTAGAACAAACTAGAAATTGTTGTCAGTGAAGTACACAATTTTATCATGACTTACTGAGAGGACAGCAATTCAAAATGCTGGAATAGAGTGCAATGGGAATTGGAAAGAAGATGCCAGGGAAAATATTCAGGGACTGTCGTGAAGGAAGCTGGTAACTGAATCATAAACACTATCAGCCTGTCTGTGGGTTAAGCCCTGAGCCTTTTTTTTTTTTTACTTAAAATAGGAGAAGACAAAGGACTCCTACCAATCATATTCAAGAACATCCGTGGCTTCCTTCTACCATCCTGTAAGGACTTTTAGCACAACTTCCCTCTCACATGAATATAGGTATAAAGCCCTGCACAAGAATACAGTAAAAGCTACCTAAATTGGCACTCTGATAAATAGCAAGTCTCTCTACTGTCAACGAACGCATTCAGTGCGGCACACTGCAATGACTCAAGCAATGAGCACATCACAACTCATCAAATGACTGTCCTGCTGCAGTTGTTTGCAAGCCCGTATCATTCACGTGTCAAATAAAAATGGCTAAAAGGCCTTTTTGGTGCTAGACTGTGGTTTTTTACATTAATCTACAATTTTTTCAGAACTAATGGAAGACTTTCTTTCATTAATGTTACTTGTAATGTGTAGGCACAATGCTACTTTCTGAGCAATTCATGACATAAAAGAGAGTCTCCCTCATCAGAATCCATTGCTGTTAACATCTGAAAACTGCACTGATCCCAAACCTTCATACTTCTGTTTCTATAGTGACTTGCCACCTAGACAGATTACACTGTACTTCCACAGTGTCTCTACTGCTCTTCTTTCCTGTTTCCTCAGAAGAACTCCAGTTACCCAGTTTCTTTAAGACAAAAACCCCACCTTCTCTCTGTCATTAGAAGCTGTCAACTGGAAGACCCCACTGTAAGTTTGTGGCTTCCTGAGTAAAACTGAATAGCACAAGTTTAAATTACATTAGCCTTGCTGTGTGGATGAAGTACAACACATCACGTGAAGTTTGCTGAGGGATGAGCAGGCGCAGCTGAGGCTTCATGTATCATTCTTCAGCCAGGAGGTACATCACTTCCTTCCCACCACTGAAAACTCCCCCACTGCGCTCTGTGCGCAGAGTGGCCCTGTGTAAGACTTTGCAGGGATCTCCTTGTGTATGTGCATGCAGGGTACCCTGCTCACTCTCTTGTTTCTTAACACCCTAACTTCCATGCAATTAACATACTCACTCACCTTTACGTATTCAAAAAATGACAAGGTCATAGTATGTTTAAAAGAAAGGACAATAATCTGAGTAAATATTTTGATAGGCTACGTTAAAGTAGCTATTACAGTCCACAAAAGGAGATCTGTACATTTATTTACCAGAAAATCCCAAACAAACCCAAAACATACTCCTCTCCCTCTTAATTAGTTCTCTTAATGAATGTATAATGAAAATTGTTCATGGGTATGGTCTGCTGGAAGTTCTCAAGATGCCAGCTGGGTGGGTCTTTTGGCCTACAGACCCAGCTGACTGTTCTCATTCAGGAATGAAACGACTAGGAAAGTGTTCCAAAACCAGGAAGTCCAATGCATTAAAAGTGAATTACTGCAGTTAATCAGGCTTTTCATTAGCATATGGCTAGTTTATAAACTATTCTGAAATGTGACATTTCCAAACGATCACATAAGAGCACTTCCAAATTTTTCAGCATTTCACCACCACTACGTGCTCATCCTATCAGAACCAACAAACGGTGAAAATCATGAAACAGCACTGGAAAAACAGTCTGAAAGAAGCAAGTGATGTAACCATACCTCAGCTGTAAAGGCAATGACCATGAAGTTCAAATAGTTAAGGTTTATCCTGTAACCATGAGAACTCAAGGTGAAGGCTGTAAGACTAGTGAGCATTTTGACTAAACAACCTCCCCTTGCAACTAGTTGGCACAACATGATACATTTTTTTATTTTTATAAGTACTTTCCATGAAAAGGGAATGGAAAGCCATCAGAGCGGCAGGCTGTAAGACCTGCTGACTTGTTGCAAAGTAAAGGCTAAGCCATGAAGTGAAACCCTAGGAGCTGCTGCATCTTTAAATATCATAAAACTGAAATTTATATCTGGAGTAAATCCGATTGGTATTTCCTTTGAATACACACTGCATTTGGCACTGTAATTTGTTTTAAATAGCGATTGGCATCAATGCTGTTGTGGTTGCATTCATCCTCTTTAGGGGATTCACTTAAATAACTACTAGCATTAACTGTTTGAACTTATTTGTATTCTGATAACAGCTAATAATGAAAGCGAAGTTCAGAGCAACACCAACAGCAGTGAAGGCTAACTAGATCCTGCAAGGATGACAGTGATTGTGCAGATTACGAGAAGGCAATCAGAAGTGAGAGTCAACCATCATCCTCTGTGGAGGCAAGTAGGAATCCAGTCTGTAGAGAATAACTTACCATCCACTTCTTTACTTCTTTTTGGTGAAGCGATTTTTTTGGGTGGGGAAACAACACATGGTTTTCTTTGCTGTGTTCTGCAGTTTTTCAAATCCATCCTCTTTGTCTAAATATTGGTAACACATAAATATGCTACTTACTCCCTCATGCGTTTCAGTTTGGTCTCAGCCATAGTGCTGTTGAGAGCTCTGAATCCCTGGCGCGCCCCTGGAGACACTCTGGTGACAGTCCCCGAGCCTACAAATCAATGCACAGACACATAACCTTATTCACCTTCATCCCCTGAGCTCTATTGCAGAGTCAAGGGCAATAGGAAGGAGGAAGACTATTCCTGTTTCTCACAAGGTAATGTCACATTAATTAAAGATGAATTAGATTATTAAATGCACATTAAGGGCAACTTCTTTGTGAGGGACAAGTAGATTTCTAGCTTAAAGGCACCAAAATTGTAACAACAATTTTCCTTCTGTGTAGCGTACAGGGAATTACATTATAACAGAAAGGACAGTCACTTGAGGAAGTGCTGGGACAGATAAATATTCAACAAAATTAAAATTGCTTAGATGATATGTATTTTCCTTTATTGTTCTTGCATTTATTTATAAGAACAAGAACCTTCTTCCTACCAGGCAAGTCTCTGCTTTAGCTTGATCATTACTGTAAACTGAAAGTATTTAACTTTATGACATCACTTTCTCCTTCAGATGAAGGCACTCTTTTTATGTACGCATATGTATACACATATGTAAGCATACCTGTATCTGTAAATACATATATGTATAGATGAGAAGTATACATATACACACATGCACACTCTCTGTTTACAGGCCTCATGGGCTGTTGCAATATTTGATGACCGAATGCTCACAGAGCGCTGTGTTATTCATCCACAGGAACAGAGGTGCTGAATCACAGAGGACCGTCAGGGTTATCAGCTCAAATATCCTGCAGTTTCATGTTGCCATTCCGTCACACAAGTCCCTGCTCAACCTAAGGACTTCATTTATTTATTGCCCCTACTGCTCCTCTTGGAAGACAATTGCAGAGCCTCACTGTGACCTGGTGGCTAAAATCTCTCCTCTAATTTCCCAGCAAAATTTCTTTATTGACCAGTTCATGCTCATTTTTCTCCTTTACCAGTCCTTTTCTTCAGCTTACTCAGTTCTTCCCTTCCCTTTTGCATACCCCTTTCATTCCTTACAATTGGAAAAAGAGATCCTACTTCAGCTTTCAAATTGCTAAGCTAAACAAAGCATCTATTTTAGTTTCTCCTTGCAAAATATTTGCATGAGGATTTCACTTCCCAAAAGAGGAGAATACGTACCATGGTGGAACTACATCCTGCGTAAACAGAAGGGCTCTGCATAGGATATGAACAAGCCAAAAGTCACACAACACAACAGATTAACACCATGCCTTGTCTAAATGAATGCACACTCCCCTCCTAGCAGAAGGTTTTAGCTTGGACTTGGGTTTAGTTTGGATTGTGTTAACATTGATCACATGCAGCCAGAGGGAGCTTGCAGCTACCTTCCTGCTACGAGCACTGCAGACACCCCCAGAGATGTGGGGTGGAATGCTGCCCTGGAATGCACAATCATGGCTTTCCCAAGAGTTAAGCTCCTATGTCTTACATGATTCTAGATCCTGATCTAGTTGAATATTGACATAAAAACTTTCTATCATGAGGGATCCTACTGAATCACGCAGAGTAAGTGTCTGCTGGATTCAGAGCCTTACCGGATTCAGAAGATAGGAAGCAGGCATGGAGAGAGACACCACAGAAGAAATGGATTGCTGACTCTGTTAGCTGCTATGGACACATGATTTGACTTTTTAAAACAGTTTCCTAACTTCTTGTTATACCTAATGGCTAGCAGTTGTCTGGTGCATAAGTATTCTTATAAGGAGCAGCTGAGGGAACTGGGGTTGTTCAGTCTGGAGAAGAGGAGGCTGAGGAGAGACCTTATCGCTCTCTACAACTACCTGAAAGGGGGTTGTAGCCAGGTGGGTGTTGGTCTCTTCTCCCAAGTAACTAGCAATAGGATGAGAGGAAATGGCCTCAAGCTGTGACAGGGGAGGTTTAGATTGGATATTAGGAAGAATTTCTTTACTGAAAGAGTGGTCAAGCATTGGAACAGGCTGCCCAGGGAAGTGGTGGAGTCACCATCACTGGAGGTGCTCAAAAAACGTATAGACATGGCACTTTGGGACATGTCTTAGTGGGCATGGTGGTGTTGGGTTGATGGTTGGACTTGATGATCTTAAAGGTCTTTTCCAGCCTTAGAGATTCTATGATTCTATACAACTGAGGTATAGCTAACGTAGTTTAAAAGACAAAAAATGCCAAGGTCTTACTAGCAACCAACACCACCACCCATCTATGCAAAACACATTTCCTGATCATTTACTGTAACACTACACATGCATATCCATACATTTTTGCATGGGGTTTGTAAGCATTCAATTACTTTAGCAGCACTGGAAAATTCAGCTCTCCTCAGGGTGGCCCTGAGGAAACCCCAAGCACTGTTCAAAGGAATGCTTATGACTTACTGGGTGGCATGCTCCTCTTTGAGTTGGCATAGAATTAAGGTCCAGCTGTGGGGATTTGCGGCTTTGAAAGCAATGAAAAATTGACACCCTGAGCACCAGTGGTCTAAGAAAAAGGTAATGTTTGCATTCTCTTAAGAGTACATTTAACCACAGAGCCCAGCTAAATTCTGGTATTACTATTATTACAGGATATATCACTGTAGTAAGAGCTCAGCATGCTCTTTCTGCTTTGTGGGTTCAATCTATTTATTGCTACAATATCTTCTTCTCCTCCGACATTTCATTATTAAAGACATCCTTCTTATTTTTTCTGGGATTCCAGGCTAAACAATCCGTTCTTCGTCTACTCTCCACAATAGCAGTTGGCCAAGCAAAACTTATTCTCTACATGCAATCTGGTATCTATCCTCCTCTCCATTTAATATGGTTTTCTGGGTACTATGAGGCAGCTACAAGGACTACACAGATTGTAGGATGCTGCAAAGGTGTGGTTAGTCATAAAAAAATGAGTTCTCAGTGAAAACTGCTAACAGCTTTTCACATTGTTGCTACACGCCTCAAAAATTTTTCCTGGGGCGATACATAACCCACACCAACTTCTATATCAAAGGTATTTTCTTGGAAGCAGTTACTTGACTAATAATATATTTTGCACCCAGCTTCGAGCAACTTGCCTACTCATACATCAACACAGAACAAGGAACTATGCTTCTCCAAAACGTGGCCAGGTAACTATTTGTATTTTTATGCAATATATCATCCTTGATTCATTAAATGAAATGAAACAAGAAGAGCACTGACTTTTCAAAAACAGGTATTGTGGCTTTCTAAACATATTTCAAAGATGAATACTTTGCCAGTGTCTAGCCCAGTACTGCAGAGAACAGCATAGGGCAACAGAGCAAATGATCTTTGACCTCTCAGGTCATGGAGCACCAGTTTGAGGTTCTCACTGCATCCTTCTTACTCTGACAAAGGGAAGATGAAAGGCTATGTAGTAAAACAAATCCCCTGGCTGACATTTATTCACAGGTACTTACATTTAAAACCAGTGATTATGATTATCTGGTGAGACTTTCCATACATTATGGCCTAAATGCATTCCTACCAACATTTCTGCTAGCAACCGGGTAATTGGTGATAGACATCTACTGCATCTCTTGGTAAGTCATTATGTGTTGTGAAGCTATTATCTCCACTGAATCATAGGTTTCTGTCTGGATTTCGGATTTCTTTCTTCAGCTTTCACTGCTACATATGAGATCCTAAAGGCATCCTATAATGCCTTTTTCTACAAGATTAAAAAGCTCCTTAGAATCAGATGGATTTCCTGAGTTTATAAATGATACAAAGTGACCCAACGGCCTCTAACTTTCTCCTCCTTTAAGCTAAGTAGATTTGGCAAATTGTAAAACCACGTTTTCAAACTTCCTTTCATTTTGCCATTCTTTTCTGGGATCTTCCCAATTTTTCAAATTTTATGAGCATGGACTATCTTATTTTAAACATACTTGACATGGAACTGTATAGCCAACCCAAAATGAACTTTGTACCACACTAAAGCGCTGGTATTCCCAATGACTCAGTGTGAACTCATGAGGAGAAAACTCAGTTACTTCAAAAGTCCTTTTATCCTTCAACACTGAGGTTTATACTACAGAAACTCCATCTGTGGAAAAACAAAGCATATTTATTGCATCCTCTTTATCACAGTCCCAGCTGACATTAAAAAAGCTCTAGTTTTATTATACTCAGATGTTCTCTAACATCTGCTTTCACAATACCTTTGACAATGAAAGACACTACAAGAAATTCTGGCCAGGCCAGATTGCTGCATCTGCCCTATTATTGCCATCAAATTTGTCCTGTTTCCAGGAGTAGCCATTATAATGATGGCTATATATGTAGCTGTGTGGCCCAGTAATATGGTATTGCCACTGCTAGTACCAGGGTACACGCTTGGGCCTGAGTTTGCAAGGCTTCAGGCTTTGCCTGAACTTGTCTTGACCTGCCAGGAACTTGGATTTAATTGCTTAAGCTGCAATAGCATTTCTTCCAACAACCAGGTAGTTGTGGCTGTTTTGTTTTATTTCCACTTATTTTTGTGTTGTACAACCTGCATTTTTAGATGGGTAGCAGTATACTGTGTAGAATGACATATTTATAGCTAACTTAATTCAATTAATGTAGAGGAATACAGGACTGATACAACAGCAGATGCCTTGAAAAATGAGGACAAAGGATGAGGTGTAAAGGACTACAGGCATGGGATGACAAGAGGTGGGGCACAGGCTGGTACTGGCAGTCCCATGGCTATAACCAATGTGCTAGAGCTCAGTTAAAGAAATGCAGACCTGGAAGTGGACGTAACTAGTTTTAGGGTGAACAAAGAGAACAAGTACTCAACCTATGTAAAATGCACCATATACAGAAAATTTTGATGTAACATGAATTTGCAGCCCAGTGAAGAAAAAGAAAAATATAAATGAATGTCAGCAAACACATAAAAATCACCCCAACATCAGCTTTGTAGCTTGACACTGGAAGAACTTAAAGTAGTAAATGTTTAAACTTCCCAAGTGACACTGAGCATACGAAGATAAAAGGCATCCCAGCAGATTTCTCTCTTATTGTCATCACATATATTTGTTTGGAACAGATCATACAAACCTAATTACTAACTCAGCTTGAAGAAAGGCTTTAAGTTTCAGCACAGACTGGTCAGAGAATTTTTAATGATTAAAGCACATTTAATTCTTTAATATTATAATTGAAAAAGGCATCTTCTTAATACTGAAAGAAAAACAGAAAGACAAGAGTCTCTTTAATACTAAGTTTTTTTTAAATACCGCTGTTTGGCTAATATTCTGGGTTATTCCCAGAAGTTCTCAAAAGGCAATTCCTCTCTCTCATTAAAATAACAGAACATTAAAGCACAGAGCTAAATTTTGTCCCTGTTTCTACTTCTGCAAACCCACTGCAGACACCAACGCTGCAAATGCGTAAATGAGCGCAGAATTTGAAGACCGCGGGATCTCCATTAGTGTGAAGACAAGCTGGACGTGAGTGTTCCTTGCTTCAGTTCTAAGTATCTCCCTGAGCCAGAAAGTCATCAGACACGGTTCAGTGGCTACAAGACTATGACAAGCCACAGCTTTGATAACTCCCTTTCATCCTTTTTTTCTCTTCCCACCAGTCCACGCTTACAAGCAGGGGTCAAACAGAGCTTGGCACTGGAGGAACCTCTACGAGGAGGATTTCGCAGGCTTCCCCGACATTCCCCTGTCAGAGCCACAAGTTAATACTGAGTCAGGTTTATCCCAACTGAATAAGTGTAAATGAGGCAGCTAAACAAGACCGGGGTTCCTGTGGGAGCCTTGGGAACTCAGCTGGGCTTTCACGTGGGCTGCTGCTGGCACAGTTCAACCCGGTGGTCTTCAAGGACAGTGACTACACCAGCCTCAGTAAATAGCCTTCTTTCATGTAATTTTTCTTTTTAGCTTTTAAGTAGAACATGAGAAACCAGGCTTTCAAACTCTAAATTTATAGACAGAATTTCCAAGGCATTTTAGGATTAAATTGCAAACTTAAATTCTCCATGATTTTTCTGTGCCTGTAATGAGATACTGTAAAATAAAATAAATATTATCCATACCTGGATCATTATTTTAAAAAAAATTAAAGATCTTTTAATTCTTTTTCTCTTATTGTTACCAGTACTGGAAACTATAAAACAACCTACATGTCTTTAAATATTTTCCTCTGGAGAAAAGATGGCAGAAGCCGAGTTTTTAAAAGCTTTTGTTATAACATTCCACACTTCTGACCATCATGCTTTATAGCTCTATTATTTTCAACGAAAGCACTTAACTGTGTATGCCTTTTCTTTTGGCATATTTATACTTCTCTGCAGTAGATGAAGGAAGTAATTTTCAAGAAGCACACTTTCTGAGTTATTTTGTTGCAAACGGCAATAATTGGACTGTGATGAATGCAGTCCACTAAAAACTGCTGCTATTACATTTAAAGAAAAGATATCATCTTACCCAATGAGCTATTATTCAGGACACTCTCCAAATACTGGACCATTGCCTCGAGGTCACTGTCCTGTAGATAAATGAAATAAGGAATGGCATTAGTATGAGCACAAACCTAAACATAAACACTATGTACCAGAGGTATGATTCCACTAACATAAAGGATTATCACTTACACCAATGAGTGTCAACACTAACCTACAAAGTGTCTACATTGCTCTTTTTCGGTGTTTTTTTCTTCTAAAACACCAGGCTTGGGAATGATGTTATATACAAACAATTACTTACGTCAGATTCCTTGCAGAACACAAGTGTGTAGAACAACTGTGCATGGAGTTTAAAGAAGATATACATTTGCTGTGGAGGGTGGTGTGCAACCTCTGAAAATACACCAGTATTTTATCATCGGTTTGTCCTGGAATACCTAAAACAATTTTACTTTGAAAAAGGCAAGTATGTACTGCTTAACGATGCCAAAATTTCTTACACTTATGATAGCTGCCCACTGTAAATTAATACTTATGCTTCATGTAATTGCATCTACTTACATATCTAGTCATGACTAATTGAAAAAAATTAATTAAGAAGATATTTTAGCACCGTTCTATTTCAAGTATTCTGTTATCAGACAGATGATTAACAGTTTTGCCATGATATCTTTCATGTGAAATTGTGTTTGTGTACACAGATGAAATTTAAATATCTGGCCATTAAGCAATGATTTGGCTCCAGGAAGTAGATCACAATTTTGTCACAGTCCAAGAAAAACTTGTACTCTGAGTTTCTAGAAGCTGCTGCCATATCACATTTGACAAATAGCATTTCTTAACTATTTAAAACTGAAAGTCAAAATCTTGACCTTGCTAAAAAATCTGCCAAAAATCCGTATTTTAAGAAATATTGAGCAGCCTACGGCTTTAAAATTTAAAACACTGGAACAAAAAGAAACAATGTTGACCTCAGCTTCTACAATGGACAATCTGCTTTATATTTCTCTGTGATCTTACTCAAAATGCTCATTCTAAGTTTCTCAAGCTGCGGACCTGCCAGTATACCTTAATAGGATGACAATAATTGTTGGCAATGCCTGTTAGCTGGTTAGTGCCCTTTTGGTGCAAGTGAGAGCTGTTATGGATGTTCTTATCACCCTAGGTTGTTTCATGGGCTTATATTTGAAACAGGCTCTGCTATTTTAGCTGAGGTTGACAAGATGGGAATCAGCTTCTTAGTTGGCCATTTCAACAGATAACCCGAAGGCTCGTAGGTTTGAAGGAGCCTCTTTGCCCTTTTGGAGCAGCCTGTGGGGTCCTGGCCGGATAAAGTCAGCACCGGGCTTTCCAGTTTTGCAGCCCATCCAAAGTTACCTCAGATGACCAAATAAATCTGAGCCTGCTTAATTGGGGCTTTTGTCAGTTAGCATAAAGTGCCCAGGAAACGCTACAGAATGCATTACATTTATATATACAATATATATCAAATATTGAATTAAGACAATTAAAATTAAAGATATAATATTTGTAAAAAAAATTAAATTAACCTTTAGGACTTCATTAAAAATTTATTAAACATTTTTCACTCAAAACTAAAATTTGATATTAAATTTTCTGCTAATACGGATTTGTAATTATTTTTATTTTCATTACCACTAACAGTTAAATGCAAATCTATGACAGACAGACAAAAACGTGGTAAACCGCCACATACAATATTAGCATAATTGCTTTAATAAAAACTTTTTTCTTTTTTAATGGGATAAAGATTGAATTCCCAAAGCTTTGACTTCTGACAACAGGACATCATATTTACTCCAAATATCACAACAGAGATTATTTTTTCTCATTACACTGTAAGGCAAAGGATATGCTTTCACCACTGTCATCGCCACTGGTTTTCAAAGAAACTAGCTAGATTAACTTGATTATCTTGAAATAAAATTCCAATGAGGAGGACAATGTGGTAAATAGCTGAATAAATGATTAATCAAATTATGCTGAGAAACCATCGGTGCCTTTCCTCCACTTGGGTTTAGCAATGCAAGAGGATTTTAGCTGTTTTATTCAATATGCTCCTCTATTTAATGTACTTCTTTTACATTTCTCTTTTTTGCAGAGAAAGCAAAGCCCTACAAATAGGCAAGGGCCCCGACAGATGCGCAGATAAGAGGCACTCGGGGCGTGAGGGCCAGCGTGGATGAAGGCGTGTGCTTTTCACGTTCAGAACGAACGAAGCCCTCTCTAACAGGGACAAGCCGTGCCAAGGCGCCTGTTGGGAATCCGGTGGACCATTTTTTGGGTGACAGCACACAGACCACCCACAGCTGCTGGAGCTGTGCTAATTTACTCCAGCTCATTATCTGGTTTGGCAATCCCAGAAGCAACCTGGAAGCTGGAAGTAGGAGGTTTATGTACCACATTAGTAGACTTCATAATGAAGAGGGCAAATTTTATGTTATTGTCAGTATTGGGTTTGCGTGGTGAGGTTTTGGTAGCTGGGGGGCTGCAGGGGTGGCTCGTGCAAGAAGCTGTAGTAGCTTCCCCTGTGTCTGATAGCGCCAACACCAGCCGGCTCCAAGACGGACCCATTGCTGGCCATGGCCAAGCCCATCAGTGACGGTGGCAGCGCCTCTGGGATAATGTATTTAAGGGGGAGAAGTTGCTGCGCAACAGCAATTGCAGCCAGAGAGAGGAGTGCGAATATGTGAGAGGAACAACGCTGCAGACACCCAGGTCGGTGAAGAAGGTGGGAGGAGAGAGGAGGTGCTCCAGGCGCAGGAGCAGAGATTCCCCTGCAGCCTGTGGTGAAGACCATGGTGAGGCAGGCTGTGCCCCTGCAGCCCTTGGAGCTCCACGTTGCAGCAGATCTCCACCTGCAGCCCAGGGAGGGCCCCACACCAGAGCAGGTGGATGTGCCCAAAGGAAGCTGTGACCCCATGGGAAGCTCATCCTGGAGCAGGCTCCCGGCAGGACCTGTGGACCCGTGCAGAGAAGAGCCCATGCTGGAGCAGTCTGTTCCTGAAGGATGGCACCCTGTGGAAGGGACCCAGGCTGGAGCAGTTCATGGAGAACTGTCTCCCATGGGAGGGACCCCACGCTGGAGCCGGGGAAGAGTGCGAGGAGTCCTCCCCCTGAGGAGGAAGGAGCAGCAGAGACAGCGTGTGATGAACTGACCACAACCCCCATTCCCCGTCCCCCTGTGCCGCTTGGGGAAGGAGGTAGAGAATTTGGGAGTGAAGTTGAGCCCAGGAAGAATGGAGGGGTGGGGGGAAGGTGTTTTAAGATTTAGTTTTATTTCTTATTATCCTACTCTGATTTGATTGGTAATAAATTAAGTTAATTTCCCCCAAGTCAAGTCTGTTTTGCCTGTGATGGTAATTGGTGAGTGACCTCCCTGCCCTTATCTCAACCCAGGAGCCTTTTGTTATATTTTCTCTCCCGTGTCCAGCTGAGGAGAGGGGTGACAGAGTGGCTTTGGTGGGCACCTGGCATCCAGCCATGGTCAACCCACCACATTGTCACTAAAAGAAAACACAAAGAATAAGGTGATAAACTGCAGTAAAAAGCATCCATTAGCATCTCAGCTAAATCCAAGCCAATGAAACCTTCCCTGTGCACTAACTTTTCAAGGTGAAACCTCTCCTATGCATCATATTTTTAATTTTTTAGAAAGAGTTTCTCATTCTCTTTCACGTTTTCCCCTTAATTAAAAACCAGTGTTCCTCAAAAAAAAACGTGTGGAAAAGAGCTACTGCAATCTGCATTTCTGCTCCAAAAGAGAAGGAAAAAGAACACTAAACTCCCATGCTACAACTAAGATGAGAGGTCTGGATGTGCTTAGGGTCTGAAATTGGTGGTCATTCCACATGTGCAACTGGACAACGTAGCTGTATTGAAAGATGGCAACATGAGTGTCGTGGTTTAACCTCAGTCGGTAACCAGGCACCACACAGCTGCTCACTCACTTTCCCCCACCGTGGTGGGATGGGGGGGAGAATTGGAAGGGCAAAATTAAGAAAGCTCATGGGTTGAGATAAAAACAGTTTAATGATTGAATTGAAGTAAAGTAAAATAAAACAAAGTAAAAGAAAATAAAAGTAAGTTGCAATGAAAAGGAAAACAACAAAAGAGAGAGAGAAACAAAACACAGGAAAAACAAGGGATGCAGCTGCTCACCACCTGCCAACTGACACCCAACCGGTCCCCAAGTGATCGCTGCCCTCCAGCCAACCCCCCCCCAGTTTATACACTGGGCATGATGTCATATGGTATGGAATATCTCTTTGTCCAGTCTGGGTCAGCTGTCCTGGCTATGATCCCTCCCAATTGCTTGTGCACCTCCTCGCTGGCAGAGCACGGGAAGCTGAAAAGTCCTTGGCTTAGTATAAACAACAACTAAAACATCAGTGTGTTATCACCTTATTCTCATGCTAAATCCAAAATCCAAAACACCTACTAGGAGGAAAACTCACTCTATCCCAGCCAAAACCACAGCAATGGGGAAAATAGCTGCCTTGGCTCCCATCCTAACCCTTTAAAATTTTACCGTTCCAGTACCTAACTCTACCTTCTTAACTGAAGAGGTGTTGCATCCCACGTAAGGCCACTACTTCTCAGTCTGTGTTGACATCTGTGGGAGCCTAATATAGCTTGAATATATAGCTCAGATCTCTCTCTACATCATGCACCCCAATGTGTTGCTCAATTAGATGACTTTTCTGACATCATGCTACTGTATGAACATCAGATTTTTTTTCAATCGTTGTTCAAAGTAATGGGGTCACCAGGGAGCATCACCAGATGCAGCATTTCCTCACTCTCTGCACAGAAGTAACTAGTAAAGCAATCTTGGCATTGGAAAATTGAGAGATTTGCACGGATTAGAAATGTAAATATCTTACAAATCCTTATCCTGTGTTTCATTGGAATGACTTCTTTACTAGCACACACCTCCAAAAACTTAATTTATGAAGGTTTTTTTGAAGAAAGTGTTTAAGAGTATGAATCCCATCATAGAAATAGGAGTTTGGGTATTAAAAAAATGACTGCAGAAGCAAACCCGTGCTATCTACTAGCAATATCACATCTATCCTGGTAGGATTTGAAGCTTATTATTAATACTGAGCATGATCCCACCTACCTTTGAGTGAGATTCATCTCACGTAAGTGTTGACATCCAGAATGAAGATGTCCCGTGCATGTTAATAACTGTAGATCCCTTTATAATCACCAGAGAGAAAGACAGACCTCTCAGCGTATTCCATCTAACCTATGTTAGGTGTTTACACCAAGATAACATTATTCCCTAAAAATGCTTGCTCACTTCCCCTTACTGTACAGACTTTCCATTCAGTTAGTTCAGACATAGGTGTCCAGATTTGTACAGCTAAGTTCAGTCTGCTTTGATGTTGGACTTACTGCAGAATTTTTCACTTGAGGAAGGGAAATTTGAAAATTGTGCCCAAGAAAAAGAAAAGGTGATTGTGTCGATACCTGGAAACGTACTTTTGCTTTATCTAAGGTGCTGGAGTCAACACAAGAACAAACAAAAACAGACAACTAGGTTCTTTGACAGAGGAAGTCCCAAAAGGCAAATGCTCACAGGAGGTACTTCCCCCTCAGTTTATGCAGGGGTTAATGCTCTGTGTGCACACAGACTGCTGGTAGAGCGAAGACCCGTGGCCATCCATCGGGGCTGCATAGAGAAAAGAGGTGCTAGTGGGCCAGCTCTTCCAGCCCATGGTGCCGGTTCTTGTCATGCCTGAAGCCTGAGTCACTGCAAAATGAGGGAATGTTGCTGCTGAGATCTGACTGCCAACACCTAATTTATTCTGCATTATTGAGCATCTGTTTTTAGTTTCTGCCCTTCTTTAATTCTAAGCACCAGTCTGCCTGTTCAAAAACACTATTGATTGACACTTAATGTTACCGTCAATGAAAGCTGAATGAAAATTTCAAAAGGTGTTCTAAAAAGAAAAAAAAAAATATCTCAAGAGTCTGATGAAAGTGAGCAATGATTTCTTTTCAAGAGTATCTTGTGGTAGACTTTCTGGGCAACGGAGTGTTTGCATGTCTATGTGTTGTGGGTAAACACAAACCCAGCAAACAAAAAAAGAATTGTCTTAAATATTCAACTGATTTACAATTGACTAATAGTTTCTTTAGACCACGACAGTATAAACTGATCCTGAATTTTAAAGCATCCTGTCTGGTTAGTTTGAAAGCTAGGAGGACATTTCTAGATCAAATGAAGCTGTTTCTGAGTAAACTTCAAGTTTAACTGGTGAGAGAATTTCAGGACTCTCTACTACTGTGGTAGAAGTAGAGTTCTGATTTCTCACACAAACATTTTATTTTTACCTTAAGTATACATCTTAAAGAAGCTATTAGTTCAAAATTTTCAAAAATCAGTACAAGTTATCTATAATTTAGTGAGAGCAGTAGCATATTTGGTTGGTTCCAAAAAAACCCAAAAGACAGCACACTCTGTTCTGCAAAATTTGTGCATGAACTCAGAATAACCTATATGATCCTAAGCAGAACCAGACAGTACCATTCAGAGGCACTGTACTCAATGCTTTAAGCTGGTGGCCCAGAGGGAAATTAATTCTTCCTGAATACCTTAGGAAGATCCATTTTCAGAAGTGACTTGGGCATTTAAATTCATTGATTTCACTAAGACTTGATCACTGGAGTCAAGATTCATCTCAGATCATTCTGATCGGATCTAAATTAGATGATTTTTCAAATAATCTTCAACCTCCTTAACACTGCAATCCCTAAGATTTTCTTGTGGCAGCCTCACCTGATAAAGCTACTTTAAGCCTTTCAATAATGAGTTTTCTCTTCACCAACACTTTCTGAGATTCTTGGGAAAGTCTACAGATTTGCTGGTCAAGTCTTGCAGTTGTTTAGGCTTGTAGTTCATCACACTGTCCTAGAAAATATGTCTAATATAAGCAGGAAGAAGTGGCAACGAGAGGTGCCTATCTTTGCCCAGGAATTTGAGCTGGAACTTACATCTTATGCTTAAAGTATACTTTCAGCTTTAACTTAATTTACCCATAGCTAACATGTGAGACAGCCCCACTCTGAGTGTTTTACAGTCACAAGAAAGTTTATTGACAACAATCCACCTTAAGGCATTCATGGGAGTGTTATCCTTAATCCTGAAGGAGCACAATCTTTCTCATCAATGTCTCAGGAGAATTACATATGCATACACATATAATTAATTCATTGTATTGATATACACACACATTCCTAACAAAACCAAATTTCAGTAATGTCAGTAGGACAAAATCTTGCAATGAGTTTAATTTTCCTATGGAAAATGAGAATTAAGTGTATACTGTTTTCCCAAAGTTCACATATACCTGATGATTTGTCTTAGAGACTGTCTGTGACGCTTCCACATCCTCCTCCTCTTCACTGCCTTCTGAACAGGATTCAAACTCATCATTATAATATTCTTCTGCAATTTCTGGGTCTTCAGGGATCTCTAAAGGCAATTATGAGTTTAAAGTACAAAGACAGACAATATGCCTGACGTTAAAAAGATAAAATGGGTTTTATACCACTTATGTCACTAGCAAGCAATGTATTCTGTAACTGAAATCAAGGGATAGGTTCTCAGATTAAAATGTTCATATTTGATGACATGATAAGCACTGTTAAAGCTGTCTCCGGCAAAATTTCAGATCCTCATCATATGTAAATTAATGACCTCAAAGGATCTATATTGATTCTGGCCTAAAATCACTGAACCATAGAATAATTCAGGCTGAAAGGGACCTCATGGGATCATCTAGTCAAAGCAGGTTCAGCATCGAATTGAATCCAGCCTTTGTGAGCCAAAATTATGCCCCAGTTTGGTTTTCTCTAACATACATAACCTGTGGCAAATACAACTGCTAAGCTAAAATGAAAAATAATATATACCAGGCACATGTTTAAAAGAAAAAAAGAAATAAAATCTAGACTTTTTCCCAAACTTTCCTGAAGCAAAAGCATAACAAAATAAAAGTAGCAGGTGTAAAGTCAAGCTACGCACACTTGGGTGTCATGCTTTCTCAGTTTGCTACTATCACCAGTTTTAGTAATAGCAGTGACTGCAATACTGATATAGCCAACGAGCCCGTGAAGTACAGTAATTGTTATTAAAACTCCACATATGCATCACAGCATGAAAGACACCGCAGTCACCAGGGAGCCCGGCTTGCCAGCCGTCCCATCAGTGGCCCGAAGCATTCATGGAGAAAGATGCTCCAGGAGAGGTAACCTCCATGCTTTGATTTTAGGCAATCCCTTACTGACTTATCAAGATAAGTCACATCCAAGACCAGGAACAATATTTTTATGCTACCAATGTTCAAAAAGAAAATGTTTGGTATCCATCTTTACCTGGTATTATTATAAGAAATGTTAGTTGAAGATAAAAACCACTTAATATTTGGCTGTCATAAATCACCATAGTCCTAACTTTAGCTAATGCTGATTTCTGTCATTCTCCCCAATTAAGTCTACCACTTTAAAGAAATATAAACCGACTTATGTTAAATATTACTGCATTGAAATAAATTTAATTCAAACAATATGACATTAAAACGCTTAATAATTTTTTTTACTTGTTTCACATGGATAAAAAAACCCAAAGGATTTAAGCAAGGGAATACAACTAAAATCCGTTAAAAGACATTGGAGTTTGGGCAGGAGCAATAATTTTAATCTTTAAGGCATAAGAAAGGAAACTCAGGAGAAAAGTGAAGATGTATTTATGTGCAGCACTAGGTGGTTGAGACTCTCCTGTTCAGGTATGATCTCTACTATCTACTGTCTCCAAAGTATTTTAAAAAATACTTCCTTCTTCTATAAACTTGATTTACTTCCAAAATGTTGACACATTTTTGCTTAGATTTCTATGTTTGAAGGTATTTCTGTAAGCTGCATAAAAGCACCATGCTCCACCGCCACAATTTTTAATCCGTCCTGTTTCTATTTTTCACCTTTCTTAGTTTGGGAAAAAAAAAAAAAGAGGATCAACACATGGGCTTCCAGAAGAACCCCCCAACTCAAAAACTTCTTCCCACAAAAGAAAGCATTTATTATTGTGTTTAATTGAGTTCTACAAAGTGCCATTTGTCAGAAAAGCCTAACACTTCATCTTAAAAAACATAATCTTAAGTATCATTCCTTTTTAGCATGGGAAGAATGCTACTAACTGAAGATACATCTCCTTTTTCAGATGGGGTGAACTTTAATTTTTCTTTCTTGCAGAGAGGCTGTCATTCCTGTGATTTTTATAATTTTATTAGGTTCGTCTGCATTCTATCTATGTCTATATATGCATTCTAATACATATGAATCAGCCCCTACTTATTATTTGATAATGCAATCATTGGACTACAGTAGTGCTTTCTGAGTTTTCTCCTCCCACATTCTTTATTTGTTTACTGTTGTACTAAAAAATGCAATTCTCCCCTTCCCAATCAAACAAGGCATCAAAACCAGGGTTTTTACTCATAAATGTAACTTCAAAATGTCTGCTCTGGCTCCAGTAAAGCTCTGCACCTTTTGAGTAGCCCGTGACCAGCCAGAACTGCTGATGCCTCCAAAGTATGCGGAGGGGCTGGCGCTGGCCGTATCATCCCACTACCTCGCCAGCTTTTACATCCCTGTCAGAATTGCTCACCTTATCATTTGGGAAATTGTTTTGACAGCTGCTCATAGACGGCTGTTCATTAATCCGAGCTCAGTAATACAATTTTAAACGCTAGTTCAGACACTGCAGATGTTCCAGGGTACAGACGTTTACTGGCCCTGATTCAGAAACTATTCCAAGTGACATTTCTGAAAGAAGACAGTGTGTCCAGTGGATGGGAACTTGGGATTTAGCTACTACAAGTCTTTAAAACTTCGTGGTTTTACAGCAAGCATCTTTAAAGAAGGCACCTTCAAAACATCACCACATTCATCCAGAATATCTGGTTCCAATTAACAGTTCCTTGAGTCCTGCTAAGTAGAGCCAATTCCCAGTCACCCACGTGCTACTGACGCAGAATTAATCTGAGTACAGAACAGCTTATTTAGCTGAGACCTAGGATCAGCCTAATTTCAAGAAGATGTAAGCTGGCTTTAGCATAGCAGATATGCACACGGCGAGCTGCACCCGTGCTGGCCTAGTGAAGTCCAAGCGCAGACAACTGGAGGGAGCTGGGAGAGGAACAGCACCACGTTTAAGAAGGTCCTGACAGCGCCCGCAGCCCGTTGGACCCCCTTGCTCCCACAGCACTCCTGGCCTGCCCAAGCACAGCAAGTCCAAATGGCCCCTTTCCCCGCAAGCGACGAAGTCACCCTGTGCGCCGTACCCGTGGTAGGCAGGGACTCTGCTTTCCTCACAGACCCTTGGAAAAGAAAGGCGATGGCAACATCTGCCATAAAGTTGTCTAATTCTGCGCCGGCTGGTAAAACGAGCAGCCTGATGGCCGCCACACGGCTGTAATACGCTTGTCCCTCAGACGCCTGTTCTCCCTCTGACGCAGCACACTTACGGGCTCCTTCGGAGCAGAAAGGAAGGTCTCTGCCGCTGCTTCTGCCCCCTCACGCCCCCGATCTGCCAGCCGACCTTTGAAAATCCACTCCGTTTTACCTAGCGGTGCGTATTGCACGACGGCCAGTCACGGCACCTTTGGTTTGCCTGCAAAGAACTTCATTCAGAACAAGGTCAGCTACTGCTTACGCATGGCTAGGCGGCTGGGGTGTAGCACTGAGGTGCCTGGTATTTGCTATTAGATACTCAAAAGAAAAGGAGCTCTGAATAATAACATTCCTCTTCAGATTGCTTTCTATATATTACCATGATGCTAATAGTGGAAGGAAGGGTAAAAACCCATTATCTAAAAAAATCATAAAAGCATAGTTATTTCCCAAGAAGACAAGCTATGCAGAAAACAAAAAAAGGCGGCATTTCTAATATTTTGCTTAAATCCACCAAAAGCTTGTTTCAGGTAGCATGGTAACTTGGCAACGACAACAGTTTTCTCCAAAGAGATTAAAATACTTTGATAAATATCTTTAATTTTCTCTTCCCTTGAAGTCATAATTGGTGCATTGACACAGCGTTCTCACTTTCCAGAAGACAATAAGTAAGGCCCCTTTCCTTTAAAAAAATGGAGAAGAAAAAAGAAAACAGAACAGTATAACATATGTTCATTTTCACCACCTGTATTTGCAGCAACAAGCTCACACTTAGCTCGTGGGGACTATTGTACTATTTTTATTCCCAAAGCTTCATCGCATCTCTGGAAAAGAGTCAGATTTTCTCAGCTGTAACTTTCCCATCTTAAGGAAAAGAGTTGTTGTAGTTCCATGTAGCGACACTCCTCAGTCTGTGCAGTCCTACAGATCCCAGAGTGAGGAGCGAAGCATTCGACTGCTCTGACAAACATGTGCTCTCATGACATACCACTTTTAACATTACGGTGACATGAACCAACACCCTGAAAAGCAGTGCTGTATAGTGACTGTTACAGGCTACCACATCTCTGCTACCGCACACCACGAGAGAGCTCAAAAAATGAAGAGGGAGAGCCAGAACACAGACGTTTTCCCTGTCGCCCTTGCAAGGCTTTGCACATGAGCCACGCTGGGACTGAGGCAAGAGCAGAGAAAAGCAGTCCCCGGCCTTCTGCTTCTGCATCGTGCTGGGCTGCAAGGCAGCCCACCGGCAGGACCTCACCAATAACCCAAAGGTGCCCCTGGTCCTTTCTCTTCTGTGGAAATTCATCAGCGAATTCCAGTTTGATCCCATCTGAGCAGGCGTTACCTACCAGAGCAAATGCCGCAGGAGACCCCAGGCTGGGCAGGGGGCTGGCGCGCCTGGCGTGCACGGAGGGGCTGGGAGAGCGGGGTCCGTTCCCTAAGAGGGGAAGGTAAAGGGGAACCTCATTGCCATTTATGACTATCTATCTGCTCAGAGGATAAAAGGAAGGTGGAGTCAGACTCTTCTCAGAGGTGCATGGTGATAGGACAAGAGGCAATGAACATCAGCTGGAACATCTTAAATTCCAGTTTGACATTAGGAAAAAAAATTTTACAACGAGAGTGATCAAATACTGGAACAGGGCTTGAAGAAGCTGTAGGATCTCATTCCTGGGAGGGGTTCAAGACTTGGCCAGATACAGCCCTCAGTAACCTGATCTGATCAGCCTTGCTCTGATCAGGGCATTGCACTAGTCCCGATGTAAATTTTTATGATTCTGTGGTTACAGGATGCTCCACAAACTTATTAGAATTACCCCAGATGTAGTTGTGTGGTGCACATATTTAACATACACACTCACAAGCTAAGCAGATATTTGCCTGGCGCTGTATGCCCCTGCAATGTGCACACATTCGCACAAATCACCGGCAAAAGTAGAACAGGGCTGGCCAGCACTTTTCAGAAGAGTGCATCAGTGATCACAGAGCTTACTTCAAGGTAAGCTTGCTTCAAGCTTACAG